GGGAAGGAAGTGGCCGCCTTTCCTGCTCCATGTCCTAGAGCGAAGGGCTGTCTGTGCCGGGCCCTGGTCCCACCTGTTAATAGCAAAGTCTTAATGTCCCCTAATACCTAATTCACGTCAAGCTTCTGTCCTGCCTCAGAAATATCCCATGATGAATGAATTTTAAAACTAAATTGACAGGGTGTGGCTTCAGCTCACAGAGTTCTATAAAGATGCCCCAACACAGCCCCCAGCCCTTCCTTGAGAAGACAAGGCTGTCCCAGTGGGGTCCCCAGGCCCTGAGGTGCCCCCATGCCCACCGCCCCCAGGGGAGGCAGGCAGACAGCTGTCCTCGGGGCTGGTGGCATGTGCCCTTGTCTGCCCACAGTGGTGACCATCATCAAGGGGAAGGTGGAGGAGGTGGAACTCCCAGTGGAGAAGGTGGACATCATCATCAGCGAGTGGATGGGCTACTGCCTCTTCTATGAGTCGATGCTCAACACCGTGCTCTACGCCCGAGACAAGTGGCTGGTGAGGCCTCTGGTGGGGCGGGCACAGCTCGTGCAGGCTGGGGTCCTGCTGTTGAGCCGGTGTCTGGGTCCAGGCAGAAAAGGAAAGCCGTGCTCGGTACTTCCCATCACAGGGACTGAGTACAGGGCCTGGAAGACATCTCCTACACGGATGTTAGGAGGCTCATGGGCGAGATGGAGGGGGCCCAGTACCGGAAGCTAGACTGGGACAGAGATGGTGCTGGAGAACCACAGCAGGCCAGAGGGGTAGGGACTGTGGACCCAGGTGCTGTTGGAGCAGGCCTCCAGGGAGCTGGCGGAGACCTGAACCCCGGGTAGAGAGGAGCCACATGGGATCTGAGGGGCAAGGCGCACTGGGCAGAGGATTTTGGCCGTGCAAAGGGCCTGGGGCAGGAGCAAGTTCGCTGGGTGTTGAGCAGTAGGGAAGCTGCAGTAGAATGAGGATCGGGAGGGAAGTTGGAGGTGAGGGGTGGAGGGGCCTATGCAGGTCCCGTGGGGCCGCGTGGACGGGTAAGACTTGCTTTACTCCTCAGAGGGGCAGGGTTAGGATAGGCTCTGACCTAGGTGCTCCTCAGAGCTATCAGGCAGCCATCTGGGGAGTAGATTGAGGCTGGGGACCGGTGAGGCCGCAGCAGGAGCCCACCTGGGAAATGCTGAGCTCAGACCAGGGCGATGTCGGGGGTGGACAAAGAAACAAAATGGGGCAACCTTGCCGAGCCCCCCCATCCTTCATGCCCTTGCCCTGTTCCCCGTAGGCACCTGACGGCCTCATCTTCCCAGACCGAGCCACGCTGTACGTGACGGCCATTGAGGACCGGCAGTACAAGGACTACAAGATTCACTGTGAGCTCGGGGCCCAGGGAGCTTACGGGGGTGGGGGCACTGGCTGGGTGCCAGTTACCCATGGGCTCACCCCTCCTCCCCGCCTCCTCCCCAGGGTGGGAGAACGTGTACGGCTTCGACATGTCTTGCATCAAAGACGTGGCCATCAAGGAGCCCCTGGTGGATGTGGTGGACCCCAAGCAGCTGGTCACCAATGCCTGCCTCATCAAGGTGAGTGGGTAGGGTGGCTGGGGGTCCCTCGGGGTCAACCCAAGAAGAGCCAGCACCTGGCCCACGCATAGGACCATGAATGCTTGCTTGTCTGTGGTTTCGGGAGCTTATATACACACATGGGTCCCTGATAATACCGACAGCCATCATTTTTCGAGGTTCCCCTTCCCAACCCCCGGTATCAACTCACAAGGATACGGGAGGCAGGCCAAACTAGGTGGAGGAGGGAGTTTGTAGACGGAGATGGGAGGGAGCAGATGCCCTGACCTGGCAAGCCTCCGTGGCCTGAGGCAGGACCCTCGGTTTTACCCTGAGCAGTCAAAAGGATTTTAAGCAGGGCTGTGATGTGATCTGTGTCACACTGACTGATAAGGGATGTTGGGTGGAGAAGGCGGGAGCCAGGGAACCCTGTTAAGATGCTGCCACAGTGGGGTGGGGACACTGGCCGGGGATAGGTCGTGGAGAGTGGAATCCAGGCGATTCTCCAAGTCCTTCTAGGAGGTCGACCTGTCAGATTTTGGGTTAGGGTTGGGAGAGCAGGGGATCCAGCAGGGCCCCCCAGATTTGACCACTGGGCCAGAGGTCAGGGAAGGGAGCTCATGAGGCTTTTCCCACAGGAGGTGGACATCTACACGGTCAAGGTGGAAGACCTGACCTTCACCTCCCCCTTCTGCCTGCAAGTGAAGAGGAACGACTATGTGCACGCCCTGGTGGCCTACTTCAACATCGAGTTCACCCGCTGCCACAAGAGGACCGGCTTCTCCACCAGTGAGGCGGGGCGCAGGGGCGCGGGCACAGGAGTGGCCGAGGGAGCCCCGGGGGCCTGGAGGCTTCTGACACCAGCCCTGCCAGCCAGCCTGAGCGCACGGTGCTGTAGTCTCTGCACCTGTGAAAAAGCCCGTCCCAGGCTTGATCAGGGTGAAGGGACCACAGTCACCGCCCAGTCTGGAGGCTCTGGAGGGCGAGGGGTCCAGCGGAGGGAAGGTGGGGGTGGGGAAGGGCAAGCGGTGAGGGGGGTGAGCCGGGCTGATGCCGCCCCACGCCCACCCCTAGGCCCCGAGTCCCCCTACACTCACTGGAAGCAGACAGTGTTCTACATGGAGGACTACCTAACGGTGAAGACTGGCGAGGAGATCTTTGGCACCATTGGCATGCGGCCCAACGCCAAGAACAACGTGAGGCTCTGGGGAGTGGGCGGGTGGGCTCGGGCACCTCTCTCTGCCTGTCCTGGGACCCAGGGACCTCTCGGCCCCAAACCTGCCAGCTAGCCCGGCTACCCTCTGTTCTGCACTCATCTGTCTGGCCTGTGCCCCCCAAACCCCCACCCCCGGTCTGCCTGTGGACCACAGTTTCATTCAGCACCTACTGGAAACCAGGGGGCCTCGGGAACCCAGCCATGATCAGGCCGGACCCCTGCTGTTCAAGTTCTAGACACGAGAGAGTCATGTCAGTGCCAGCTGGTGATGACTTCTGTGCTCAGCTGGGAAAGGGGCCGGCAGGTATTGGAGCAGGTGGAGACGGGCCGGAGGATATCCTGGCCCGAGAGTGGGAGCGAGAAAGGAAAGGGAGGTCTGTTTCATCCGCTGAGGCGTGGCAAAGTCAGGAGCTCAGACATGGGTGGGGGACACCTGGGTTGGCGGGAGAAAGGTCTGAAAGTTGAGGGGCGTGGCCTGGGCTGGAAATGTCAAATGGTACATCACTGCGTGAGCTCGGATGGAGGGGAGCACCCCGTGATGGCCCCCACTTTCTAAGTCAGGGAGGTTAGAGCCGGTTTCAGCAGCTGTTCTCAGCCAGGGATGATATTGCACCCCCCCCCCATCACGTCATCATCTGGAGACATTTTGGGTGCCACAGTTGAACAAGGGGCATGGCTGGCATCAAGTGGACGGGCGGGGGAGCCACTCAGTCTGCAGGGCACAAAATAAGGCTCCCTCACAGGAAAAGAGTGGTCCAGTAATGCAAAGTCTGAGAAAACTCAAACCAGAAACTGAAAGAGACCCAAAGAGGGAGGAGGGAGCCGGGAGTGAAGTGCAGTGAGGTCCGAGGGGGGCAGCAGTTCTTGAGGTCATTGGTGGCTTTGCCCCAGTCTTTCCAGGGGGTACTGGGGGCCCAGGCCACAGGGTGAGCCCCAGGAGGATTGGCCTCCAGGAAGCTTTGGAGGACAGGAAGAAGGGACGACGGGGTGGGGCCCCGGAGTTTTTTGAGAGGAGGAAGTTTGCTAGAGAGAGGTTTGCTTCTTGTAAAAGAAGAAAGAAATAACTTTTGCTGATGGGGATGGTTTTGATAAAGGAAATCTTATGATGCAGGAGACAGCAGCTGCCCCTCCCTTCCCCCTCCATCCCTCACCCCCCCCCCCCAAGGCGAGGGATTGGCTGGGTTCCAGGTGGTTTTGAGGATATCACGTTGGAAACCTCATGGGGAATCCAGCCCTGGTCGAGACAGATGCTGGGTGTGGGAGCAGCAATGTGGCATCTCCAGGGAGGGTGTGTGGACAGTTGGGGGCCCACGGCACTTTGGGCAGGCTATGCTGTCCTTCCCTTCCCCCGCTGCCCTGTCTGCCCGCCCTGTCCCAGTCCCCCCTCACGGCCACACTCTCCCCACAGCGTGACCTGGACTTCACCATCGACCTGGACTTCAAGGGGCAGCTGTGTGAGCTCTCCTGCTCCACTGACTACCGGATGCGCTGAGGCGGCGCCCGGCTTCTCCCACCCCAGCCAGGCTGGCCCTGCAAGGGCCCAGGGGCTGCGGCGTTCTTAGGCGGTTTTGGGGCTCCCCCTTCCTCTCCCTCCCTCCCACAGAAGGGGGTTTTAGGGGCTGGGGGTGGGGGGGGCACATCGTGACTGTGTTTTTCATAACTTATGTTTTTATATGGTTGCATTTACGCCAATAAATCCTCACCTGGGACTGCCGCTCAGCTTCCTGGGGGCATGGTGGGGTCGGGGTTCTGTCTGCTGGTGTCTGAACTGCCCAGAGCACAGAGGCAGCGCCTGCTGGCGGGTGCAGGTTTCTGTCAGCACTTCTGTGTCTCTGGGTCTTGCTACCTTTCCCCAGCCTCCCGGATTCCACAGCCTCCACTCTCAAGTCCCACCTGGTCCTCAGCTCACACGCAGGGTGGTCTCCATTGGCTCTCAGAGTCTGTGCCCCCCCCAACCCCCTCTAATGTGTCCCTGTCGCGGGGCCTCTGTGCCGGCTCGGGGGAGGGCTGGGGTGTGGATTCCCAGCACAGCTGGGCTCTGAGGTTTCCCAGAAGGCCTCTCTCCCGCCTTCCCCCATCACACACATTGTTCCTCTCAGGCTGTTTTTTCCTGTCTAGGACCCTCCAAGGCCAAAACAAGGCTGATTGGCAGTGCCTGCTGCCCTACCCTCTCCACCTGGGGAAACTGAGTCGGGGGAGGGGTTCAGAGAGTTCTTTGTGGGGGTGGCTGCCTGGCTTGGAACTCAGGGGGTTCCCACCGTAGAGATGTATGGTGAGACCCCACTGGCCTTCCCTGCTCCCAGTGACTGGCTCTCCAGCCTCTGCTGCAGATGTGGTGCCTGCGCCTGCCCACCCTGCCCTTCCCAAGGCCATGTCCAAAGTCACTGGCCCCCTAGGTCTCTGTCCACACGATCTGGATCACCCTAGACAGAACCCGTGACTTCTTTCCATGGCCTTCCTACAGCTGCTTCAGTAGAGCTGAAACGCTTCGCCTGCTGGCACCCCACAGCCATCTGCACACATTCCTCTTTTACCAGGATGGTGTTAGGGCCCAGGCTGCGTCCACGACTTGAGGTGCCTCAGTTTGCCGCCTGTCACAATTGTCAGTGCCCCGCATTGCCCAGCCCCCACTCTGGAAGTCGCCTGTCCCTGACACTGCTCTGCCAAGAAGAGGGTGAAATCTCGCCTTGCAGCATCCCCGCCCCCAGTCCTTTCCAGGAAGCCTTAAACTGCGTCGCCACTTGCAGGTGTCAGCTGCCCCGCCCCTCCTCCCTCCGCCTTAAAGGGGTCGCGTCTCCCGGGGCCTCCCAGGGGCATCGACAGCACCGCGGGTCCCGTGAGCTCTCCTTGGCCGTGGTGCGGGAGGTGGGCATCCGAGTCCTAATCCGGCCCTTCTGGAGTGGTGTGGCTCATTCGGCCTCAGTTTGCACAGTCTGAGAAGTGGGAACGCCCTGATTTCCTGGCTCTAAAGCAGGTGCTCAGGGCACTTTCCAGGCCCGGGGAGGGGGCGGGGCCGCACCCCGGAGGAGCCGCTTCGCCCACCGGTTTCTCAGACGCCGGCCCGCCCCACCCCCACGATGACCGCCCACATCCTCCTGCTGTTACTCGTCGCCTCCTCCATCCTGGGGGACCCGGACTCGGCGGGAAGGTGAGAAACGCCGAGGGCAGCGGGGACGGGGCGGGAGGGAGACCGCGGGGGCCGTGCGCCCTCTCTAGGCCGTTTTCCGCTTCGGTGGAATGGGAAGTTGGCCAGGAAACGGGCCCCGCCGTCTCGGAGTTCTGGGTACTCCCCGAGCCCCCTTTCTCGAGTGGGGTGTTTGAACCCGGTCTTCTCCCACGCTCCATCCCCAGGCGGCCCCAGCCCCACGTCTCCCAGCAGCGCGGGCGCCTCTGTTCCCTGGGCACGTGCCAGACCCACCGCCTGCCAGAGATCATATACTGGCTCCGGTCTGCCTCCACCAAGGAGCCCTCAGGGAAAGCTGGCCGCAAGCCTCAGGATCCCCACAGCTACGGGCGCCGCCGGCGGCGCGAGGCCAGAGTCCCGCTACGTCTCCAGGACCCCAGCCTGCGGCAAGGCCAGAGCAGTACCCAGCTCGCTGGGTGATGCTGGGCACATCTCTGCTCATCCCCTGGCTTCAGTTTACCCATCTATGTATTGGGGCCGTGACCTCAAGTTTCAAGACCCCCTAACTCCACCTCCTGGGCTCTCCCCGTGCTGTGACTGGGCTGGACCCACGTGCACACCGGCCCCAGCAGGGACAAAGAATATTAACGTCCAGAGCTGAATAAAACGAGAGTTCCGTGTTTCAGTTGGCTTGTCTGTGCCCATTCTGGCCTCCCAATTTGAGCCTGGTCTCTATATTCTCCGCTTTATCCACTCAATTTCCCCCCCAACGGAAGCCCCTCTGATTTACTTGAATCCGACCCGCTGTAGCACCTCCACGCCAACTCAGCCCCTGCAGCCGCATCTTCCGTGGGTGGTTTTGGTGGGTCTACCGGACCCCAAAGCAGTCCCTTGCCTCCCCCGAGTAGTGGGGCTGAGATTCGCTCCGGCTCCCACGCGCGTGGGCTGAACTCTAAGCTGATCTTCTTTCCTCTAAGAGAAAGAGAAAAGACAAAGAGTGGACTCGGGAGCCGAAGAACCTGGGGTTCGGAGGAAAGGTGCTGCGTAGAACAGGGGAGGGCCCATTGGTGGAGAATCAGGCGGGTAGGAGTCTGAAGGCAGGGGATGCAATGGAGGCAGGGGATTGGACGCTGGAATTTGAAGGGGGCGGGAACTGAGCGCAGAGAATTAAAGAGGGCGGGGATAGAAAATTAGAAGAGGGCGGGGATAAAACCCGGGGCTTGAATACCCTGCGAGGAACCCGAGAGACAGAAATTGGGGTTCCTGGATGTTGGATAGTCGGAGGCGACGGGAGCTCCGGAAGCGCATCAGGCAAGTCGTGGACTCACAGCACTGGGACTGGACATATGCAAGTGGGAGGCTCCAGTCCGGCGCTCTAAATAGGGGGCGGGGGTGTGTGTGCTCGGGCTTGGTCTAAGATCGATCGGCGGACCCCTGATTCAGCGTGGTAAGTGCCGGACTGTAGGGGCGCGAACTCCTGCGGGGGCCGGAGGATTGCGTCTTGGTCTGGGAGTGCGGGCATCTCCATCACTTGTCCTCGACGCTCGCCTCTGCTCTCAGCCTCAGCATCCCCGAGGCATGCGCAGCAGTGTGCTTCCTCCCCCATCCCCTTCAGCCCGGGGCTGGGGGAAGGGACGCTGGGTCACCCCAGAACGCATGAATTTATAGAGAACCCCTCCCTCAACTCCCCCTCACCCGCTACAAGTCCCCCACCCCCAGTCCTTGCCTCGGAATGGGAAGCGGAAATGAAATGGACAATGCCAACGTCCGGCAGGTGTTCATTTCAAAATCGGTTTGGGAATAATGTTTTTCCCGATATCCCGCAACTCACCCTGGACCAATTTCCCGCCTCGACCCCCAAATCTTGAAAGTCCTTTGGAGGGGGCCACTGTCCCCGCGCCACTTTCTCAGAATAACCACAAAAGGAGTTAACGCGAATTATCCGTCCTGCCTTTCTGTGCGTTCACAGAGGTCCCCGGTTGAGGTACCCCCAACACTGGAGTCTATGGCCAGGACCATCAAGACCCCCTCAGGTGTTAGGGAAGGGTGAGCTGGCGTCCTACATTCCTGGGTCTGCGGAGAAGGGGCTGGGGGTCTGGGGAATGACCCTCTGTCCTCCTCCCAGGGCTGTAGCCTGACATGGCTGAAGCTCACCAGGCGGTGGGCTTCCGACCCTCACTGACTTCGGACGCGGGGGAAGTGGAGCTCGGTGCCCCGGTGTTGCAGGAGATCTACCTCTCCGGACTGCGCTCCTGGAAAAGGCATCTCTCCCGTTTCTGGGTGAGAAGGGCGGCTACTTGGTTTCCTTCCGGAATCCAGTTACCTGCTTCCGGGATACGCGAGGCTCCCTTCCGGGCATCCTGGGTGGTCCTGCTTCTGGGAGTTTTCAGGTCCACTTCCAAGACCCCTTAAAGCCAATTCCGGATTCTCTGTGGCTCACGGCTGGGTTCCTCAACCTCACCTAGGAGAACTGCCATTCACCTGTGGTACCCACTTGTTGAACGCCCTTCATGCTCTCCTCACACACACCTGCAAACACAACTTCCACCCCAATTTCTAGATCAGTCCCCTTACCTGTTGTGCACCTCTGATCTTTCCCATTCATCTCCAGGCTCTAAACGAGATGCTCTCCATTCCAGAACCCCATGGACTGATCAAGGTCTTGGGTAGCCCACACCGCAGTCCTGAAGGCCCCCTTTCCCAAAGCCCTTCCCCACTGGCTCTCTCTGCCACCTCCTTGCCCCTGCTCTCAACCCCCAGTACCCTTCCGGTATGTGGTACACCCTCCCCCTGGTCTGAAATGTGAACCTCCACCCTCTGGACCCCAAACTCCCACTTCTTGCCTTTGCCCTAGAATGCCTTAGAATGCTCACATCCACCTAGAACCCATGTCAGCCCTGGAGTCCCCAGTTCTAGAAGTCTGGCACCATCTATGGAGTCTCCCTGGAGAAGGAAATGGCAGCCCACTCCAGTATTCTTGCCTGGAGAATCCCATGGACAGAGGAGCCTGGCGGGCTACAGTCCATGGGGTCGCATAGTTGGACGTGATTGAAGTGACTTGGCCTGGGCTCATGGAGTCTCCCTGCTGACCACACCCTGTCTGTGAACATAGGTCTTGAATGCTTTTGGGGTCCATCAGGACTGGGTTTGAGTCCTGACTCTGCCACTGACTAGCTGTGTGGCCTTGGGCAAGCGCGTCTCTCTGAGCCTCAGTATCTCCACGTGTGAAACAAGAGTGATGGTAGAACCTCCCTTACGGCACAGTTGCAAGGGTTAAACAAACTCTCACATGCAAGCCCTGAGTCAAGGGCTTGGCCCATGGCAACTACTGAGGGTTAGTTTTTTTGGCTGTACCTTGAAGCATGTGGCCTGGAGAAGGAAATTGCCATCCCCTCCGCTAATATTGCCTGGAAAATTCCATAGACAGAGGAGACTGGCGGGCTACAATCCATGGGCTGCAAAAAGTTGGACATGATTGAGCACAAGGCATGTGGAACTTCCACGACCAGGGTTTGAACCCGCACCCCCTGCAGTGGAAGCAAGGAGTCTTCACCTCTGCACCACCAGGGAAGCCCTCTGAGTGTTAGCTTTTGATTATAATATGGTTCTTCATTTGCCAAATATCTGTGGAGCATTTCTGAGGGGCCTGGCACCATTTGGGGCACTGGTGACTTGGCAGGGAGCAAGACAGACAGAGTCCTGCCCTCATGGAGTAGATAAGTACTCAAAACATAGAGTATGTCAGATGGTGATGTGCTATAGAGGACGATCATGTGAGCAGGGAAGAGGGAGCATGGAGGGGTTAGAATACACCCCGGGGGCAGCCCAGGGTTCTCTCTGGAAGCTGGAACATTTGAGCAGGCTGGATAGCACTTCTATGGCCATATTGGTTGTTAAAATGATTGTTAAAATAGAAATGTATCTGCTCCAGCAAGTAAATAGCCACTAACCCAAACCCCCAGAGAGCCCCTCTCAGCCCTACTTCTGGGAACCCCTGGGCCTCAGGCCAATCCAGCAACTAAAGTGTTAACTTGTGGTTAAATACATAAACACACACATGTATACACACATAAATAGGTATTTAAACTAAGATGTAATTATACACAGAAAAACAAGGATTTTTTAAGTGTACAGTCCTTGAATTTTGTAGTATCTTTGTAACTGGGGTAATACCTATGTAACCAACTTTCCAAGAAAACAGCACAGCCATCATTTTAGAGTGTTCCTTAGAGCTCTTTTCCTGCCAGTACCCCTTACCTCACCCTTGCTGCAAGGCAATCACCATTATGATTTCTATGCTTATAGATGGATTTGAACTGGTGTTGCTATGTTGAAAATTTTTAACTGTAACGCCTGTATTCAAGTCAGCCCTGAAACTCCTTTCTGACTCAAATGTCACTGATGGCCAGTGGCCCCCACCAGACACTCATATTAGTATAATTGATCATTGTAATAGTGACTTTTTCCTTTCAGCTACAAAGCTGCCTCTAACCCTGATGGCCACCTGGAGTTCTCACATCCTTCCTCTCCAATCAGGGGCCCCAGGAACCACCCTGAAGCCGTAGCTCCTGGAACTGGGTCCCAAGGTGAGGGCTGTGCCCTCAGCAACACCAGAGCTGTAATTCCATAGACTCATTGCTAAGCCTGAATTTCTTCACTTAAAAAATGGGAATCTTGACAGTCCCTGCCTTGAGGGACTGTTGTAACCATTAGTTGTCTTAGGAGAAGGTCTGACTCACAGAAGTCACCACTTCAGCATTACCGTTCTTATCTTACATACCACATAGGTTCTATGTGACCTCTGGCGTGTTAGTAATTTCTCTGGCCTTCTGCTTCCTCTTTTCTAAAACCATACTAGATAGTAATAGATCTCAGGCTCTATACCAAGCAAACCCTTTGAATCTATTGCTCATCTGGCCATCATTAAGACCTCTTTTTTGGTCATGCTGAGCCACTTGCAGGGTCTTAGTTCCCTAATCAGCTAATCAGAGATTGAACGCTGGCCATGGCAGTCCTAACCATTGGACCACCAGGGAATTCCCTCATTTAGAGCCTTCTAAGCAGAGACATTACTTTGCCAACAAAGGTCCGTCTAGTCAAGGCTATGGTTTTTCCAGTGATCATGTATGGATGTGAGAGTTAGACTGTGAAGAAAGCTGAGCGCCGAAGAATTGATGCTTTTGAACTGTGGTGTTGGAGAAGACTCTTGAGAGTCCCTTGAACTGCAAGGAGATCCAACTAGTTCATCCTAAAGATCAGTCCTGAGTGTTCATTGGAAGGACTGATGTTGAAGCTGAAACTCCAATACTTTGGCCACCTGATGGGAAGAGTTGACTCACTGGAAAAGACCCTGATGCTGGGAGGGATTGGATGCAGGAGGAGGAGGGGACGACAGAGGATGAGATGGCTGGATGGCATCACCGACTCTATGGACATGAGTTTGAGTAAGCTCTGGGAGTTGGTGATGGACAGGGAGGCCTGGCATACTGCGATTCATGGGGTCGCAAAGAGTCAGACACAACTAAGTGACTGAACTGAACTGAACTGAAGGGAAGCCTATCATTAGTCCCATTTTACAGATGAGGAAACAGAAACTCAGAGAGATGTTTTCACTTCCCCCAGGTCACACAGCTGCCACGATGCAGAAGTAGAGGCAGACCTGGAAGAATTAGAAGTCTGGCTCTGGAGCCCATGCTGACTCCTCACTATCCTGGGCTGCTTTTCTAGAACATGGTCTCAGTACTGATGCCCAAGAGTTGTGAATTACATGCAGTGGGTCACTTGGGCCAAGCATGCGGCTTTGGTATAGGTGGTTCATTGGCAGGAGATTAGAGTGTTGCTTGAGATGGTTTCCAAATGGATATGAAATTCTGAGATACAGCAGACTTTAGAGTATGGTACCCTCATCCGTCTGGTTTGAGTGATTGACAGTGCCCTCTGGAGCCAGGAGCCCTGGGTTCAAATCATGCCTCCACCACTTCCTGGCTATGTGGCCTGGGACGAGTTCTCCAAACTTCCTGTCTCCTCCATTTCTTCACCCATATGATGGAGACACGAATAATTACTATCTTACTGAGTGACAGGGGGACGAAATGATTTAATGATGCTCCTGGTACTTGGGAAATGCTATAGAGAAATTTTCTGATATTAGGAAAACCCCTGTCCTATTGCAATCTAGAGCCCCAGATTACAAGCACTGAAAACATCTTTTAAAAAGAAAAACAACAAAAATAACCATGTTTGCCAGTAACCTCCTTCTGCCAAGCCAAAGGGAGATTGTCCAGTAAATAAATCCCCAATGAGAAGATTAGCAGCAAAGAGGATATCGTAATATTTAGTGAGCTCCTACAGTGTGCCTGACCCTGAGCAATGCAATTGATCACCCTGCGCCACCCTACCCCACCCCTAGCCCTCTGCTTCATTTTCTCCATAGCACCTCTTGCCATCTGACTCATGCCACGAAAGCCTGTATTTATGTAGGTGTTGTCTCTATCCCTCATGAGAGCAGGAATCTTGCTGTCTTGTCACTGCTGTTGGACTGCAGTAAGCCTTTGTGGAATGACATTTCCTCATCCAGCCCTCGTGACAGCCCTATGAGCCAAGTACTGAGATTTGGATTGTTCCCATTCTACAGATGAGAAAACTGAGACACAGAGGTAAAGTCACGTGCTTGCAGTCACTCAGCTAGGTAGTGACAGAGCAGAGATTTTAGCCCAGAGGGTGGGGACTCCAGAGCCCAAGGTCTAAACCATGACCTCTGGGAATTTCCTGGCAGTCTGGTGATTAGGATTGTGTGCTTCTCTGGAAGACTGCAGGAGGCACAGGTTTGATCCCTGGTCAGGACACTAAATTCCTGTAAGCCGCATGGTTTTGGGGGGAAAAAAAGTTTATACTTGTAAATAGCACCTGGCCTATAGTAAGCACTCATTAAATGTTAATTATCGCTAGTATGCTTCCCTGGGAGTTGGGAGTTTGGTTAGTTACCCAGCAGTTTGTGGGATGTTCCCTAACCAGGGATTGAACCCAGACCGTGGCAGTGAAAGCGAGAAATCCTACCAACTTGACCACCAGGGAATTCCAACCCAACATTTTCATTCATTCCTCATTCATTCCAAGGCCAGTCCCTGAGCTCTGGACCCTGCTGTATACTGGCAATTGTTTTGCCTTTTTGACAGTCTCACCTTCAGGGTCTTGTCTGAGAGGGTCTTGTCCCTTCCTCCAGGGAGCCCTCCCTGACTCCCTCAGCCTGAGCAACCTGCCTTATTCTATCGCCATGAGTACTCACTGCATTCTGGTGTGACCTCCTTTGGGGCAGCACCAAGATCTGCCTGTTCCTCACAGCATCTTGGGCACGCATCTCAATGCTGAGTCAACATCTAAGAGCGGTGCTTAGCAGAGCGGATAACTGATTGAATAGGTGACCTTTCCTCTCCACAGAACGACTTTCTCACAGGCGTGTTCCCTGCTAGCCCCCTCAGCTGGCTCTTCCTCTTCAGTGCAATTCAACTTGCCTGCTTCCTCCAGCTGGATCCTTCCTTAGGACTGATGGAAAAGATCAAAGAGTCTCTGCCAGACTGGTGAGGTTCCCCACTTCAACCCAGTAACCTCCTAACCCCCTTCCCTCCACCCAGGACATTTCTATATCAGCATGTGTGCCTGTTAAAGAAAAGTAATCTCCAAGACTTACCTGGGGTCAGATTAATAAAGGTAAAGCATCAAGTAAAGGGAGGTAATTTTCTCTATTGTCTCTGTACATTTTCCATCCTGGCTGCTTCTTGCTAAAGGGAATGTTGGCAAATTAGACAAAGGCCAGGTATGGTTATATATGCTAATAGAAGTATGAGTTCTGCTAATCTATAGTCGTGTGGTCTTAGGCAAGAGACCTCACCATTCTTGGTGTCAGGGGCTTCACAGCCCAAACGAACTTTTGGGTCAACTCAATGATTGGTTTTTAGGGTGATTGGAGGAATTAAACAAAATCACGAATGTGAAATATTCAGTACAGTACTAGGAGGTTATGAAATGGGAGTAGTTGAGTGATTATTGCTGTTTGGAAATCAGATATGGGTGAAGTTGCAGGTTCTAAGTCTTAGATTAGTCCTCCTGGGGAAAAAGGTTCAAACTGTACAGACAGCCTGAAAGGGCAGATCTAGGATCGGAAGTAGAAATTTCCAGGAAGGCTGCTGCTGCTGCTGCTAAGTCACTTCAGTCGTGTCCGAATCTGTGTGACCCCATAGACGGCAGCCCACCAGGCTCCCCCGTCCCTGGGATTCTCCAGGCAAGAACACTGGAGTGGGTTGCCATTTCCTTCTCCAATGCATAAAAGTGAAAGGGAAGTCACTCAGTCGTGTCTGACTCTTAGCAACCCCATGGACTGCAGCCTACCAGGCTCCTCCGTCCATGGGATTTTCCAGGCAAGAGTACTGGAGTGGGGTGCCATTGCCTTCTCCGCCAGGAAGGACAGATTTACCTAATCTAAAGAGGGTAAGTGACTCCCTTCAAGTGCTCCAGGAGGGATTTCCTCACAGTCTGTTCTATTGCAACTTTGCAAACATGTTGACTTACTGTATCTTTAGACCAGCCATTCCTCAACTTGAGTTTGTATTAGAGTTATCTGGGAGGCTTGTTAAAACACTGATTGCTGGGCCTGGGGCCCAGGAATTTGTATTTCTGACAAGCTCCCAGATGGTGCTGATGCTACTGGGCCAAGGGCCACACATTGAGAACCTCTGCCTCAGGGTGTAATTTGATATCTGGTATAGTGAAGGTCACTCAGTCTAACAGACTCTTTGCGATCCCATGGACTATACAGTCCATGGAATTGTCCAGGCCAGAATACTGGAGTGGGTAGCCTTTCCCTTCTCCAGGGGATTTTCCCAACCCAGGAATCGAACCAGGGTCTCCTACATTGCAGATGGATTCTTTACCAACTGAGCTATCAGGGAAGCCTGATATCTTATATATTTCCATAGAAATACCAGCTCATACTTATTAAGTTCTTGCACCTTTGCGTGGGATGTGATTTTAGAAACTTGGTGTCTCCATATTCCTGAGAGGAGATGCTGGGCGCACCAAGAGAGAGAATCACACCTCTAGCATTTCACCAATGAGGAAACTGGACTTTTTCTGACCAACTCTAATTCTATGGGATATGCCTCCAACAGCCAAAAGATCAGAGTCAGAGAGTGTTAGGAACAGCAGGTGCTGGGTAAGACTGGAGGGGAGGGATGTTCTGAGGCCAGGAGACCCTGGCCTAGTCTCTTTTTCTCTACCCGCCCCCAGGGGTGGACAGCATCACAGGCTGCGGGGGGTCCTGGCGGCCGCGCTGTTTGCGTCCTGTCTGTGGGGAGCTCTGATCTTCACCCTTCATGTAGCCCTGAGGCTACTTCTGTCCTACCACGGCTGGCTCCTTGAACCCCACGGAGGCATGTCCTCGCCCACCAAGACCTGGCTGGTATGGGAGAGGCAGAACCCTTGATCAAGTCCCCTCTGCCCTGTTCTCTCCGCGGAGTGCCACCCTCGCCGCGCCCCCACCCTACCCCAGCACCTTGGCGCCGGGCTGCAGTGAGGCGTTTAATGAGCCACTAATTCCTGCTCTGTGCCAGGCCCTGGTGCGCATCTTCTCCGGCCGCCATCCGATGCTCTTCAGTTACCAGCGCTCTCTGCCGCGCCAGCCTGTGCCCTCCGTGCAGGACACCGTGCGCAAGGTGGGCCAGGTACCCCAGGATGGGGAGGGAGGCTGCCGAGGGGGGAGGGGAGGGGGGTCTATGTCACTTGCCCTCTTCCCCTCCTTGCCCCTCAGTATCTGGAGTCTGTCCGACCCGTCCTCTCCGACGAGGACTTCGACTGGACCGCGGGCCTAGCGCAGGAATTCCTGAAGCTACAGGCGTCACTTCTGCAGTGGTACTTGCAGCTCAAGTCCTGGTGGGCGTCCAATTACGTGAGTACCGCATCCAATAGGCGAAGCTTCTGAAGCGGCGCTCCTAACCCTGCGAGTTCCACGCCCCGCCCCGTGCCCCGCCCACAATCCCAGGCCCGGCGGCGATTGGCGCTTCACTCCAGATGTGAGGCTATTGAGTCCCGCCCCCACGGTCCAATAGTTTAAACCTAGCCCAAGATGCTCTGGTATTCTGAGCTCCTCTCACCTCTCCAATATTCTGAACCCCGTCCATCCTGTGCTAACATTTTAGGCCCCATCCCCCACGCTCCCACTTTCGGAGACTGGGTCTTCAACGATATAGCTCCGCCTCCGGGACCCGCCCACATCTAGAGCTCCGCCCCCAGCCCGCTAATATTTAAATCAGAATTCCGGGCCCCTTCCAACATTTCAGCGCCTCCTCTGGTTTCTCAAGAGTCTAAACCCTTCCCCTAGAATAGGTATTTTCCTCTCCCTTCTGTGCGCACAGACGCCTACCCTAAACGTACTTCCATCAGATTTCAGGAGCTAGGGTCCTAGAACGCACTCTGAGTTAAACTCCTTGAGAATCTGAGGCATAGAACCAGGCAGCCAATTGTCCTGTAAGCGGCTTCCAGGCCTCCCATTCTGTAGGAAGCCATAAATAGCCGCCAGGCAGCATGTGATGCAGAGAAGGGAATGGCACTCCAGTCCAATACTCTTGCCTGGAAAATCCCATGGACGGAGGAGCCTGGTAGGCTGCAGTCCATGGGGTCGCTAAGAGTCGGACACGACTGAGCGACTTCCATTTCACTTTTCACTTTCATGCATTGGAGAAGGAAATGGCAACCCACTCCAGTGTTCCTGTCTGGAGAATCCCAGGGACGGGGGAGCCTGGTGGGTTGCCGTCTGTGGGGTCGCACAGAGTCGGACACGACTGAAGTGACTTAGCAGCAGCAGCAGCAGCATATGATGAGCTGGAGGTAGTGAAGAAGAAATAGATGCTATTATTTTTTTTTTAGGTTCGACATATAAGTGATATCACATATTTGTCTTTGTCTGACTAACTTTACTTAGTATGATAATCTCCATCACTGACTCGGGGGACATAAGTTTGAGCAAGCCCCGGAAGTTGATGATGGACAGGGAAGCCTGGCATGCTGCAGTGCATGGGGTCGTAAAGAGTCGGATACGACTGAGCGACTGAACTAATGTTGCTGCAGATAGCAGTATTTCATCCTTTTCTATGCAAACCTTAGTTTTAGATTTTTTTTTTTCTTCATGTTTTTGGATTAGATTCCACTCTTAAAATATATGTATATAAAAACACTTAACATAATAATTATATAATGCATAAATAATATACATGTATAATTATATAAATATATATACACACCATATGTATATTTAATTGATATATTTCATTATACTTGTAAGGCACTGTCAGTTGTAACATGCACCATTATGGACAAGAAAGGAAAAAGAATTAAGTCTAACACAATGCTTTCTTATCACTTATACAGGTCAATCTTCATTATTCACACATTTTGTATTTGAGATTCTTCTACTTATATTTGAACCCCTAATCAGTACACATGGCACTTTCGTGATCATTCGGAGAGTTGTGCAAGGTGGAAAAATTTGGACTTGGCTTGAAGTGCACATTCCTAGCTGAGGTGAAACAAGAGTGGAAGGAACCTGACCCTGTGTTTCCCTTTGGAAAAATGGCTCAGTGTTGGCTAATCAGCGTTCACTGCCACTTTATAGGACATAACGACCTTGAGTAAAAAGAATCAGGTGTATATTAAAAAGAACTCACTTAGGGTCATTCCTAGTGATCCAGTGGTTATAGAATCTGCCTTCCAATGCAGGGGACACTGGTTCAGTCCCTGGTTGGGGGAATGAAGATCCTGCGTGCAACAACTAAGACCCAATGCAGAGACGTCACTTGCATATACTGTTGCATCACGTGGATATAATGTTACAATATTATACATATAGTAAAATACACAAGTCTTACATGTACAGCTTAATTAAGTTCTATGTATGTATATAACCAGATAACCCCTACTTAGATCAAGGTATAGAACTTTTCTACCATTTGCTGGAAACTTCTGGATTTTTCCACAATATGTTGCCTATTCTCAGGGAATGACAACTACATCCTGCCTGGTCTAAGTTTAAGGAAGTGTATGATACCATCAACTTAAAAGATCCTGAATGTTTCAAGGAAGACCAGAGATCCTGTGGGCTAAACTAAGACCCAGTACAGCCAAATATATATATATATATATTTTAAAAAATTTAATGAAAAGAAAATATCTAGAAAACACTAAAAGTCTCTGACCACCTCCCTTTAATTCTTGTCCCTCCCACCATTGCCTGTGAGAAACACTTTGGTCAAAGTCTTTTCTGAGTGTATGTATACATATATTGATACCCAGGGAAATATAAATATTCTTTAAGTATATATATTTTATTTATAATATATAATTTTAACATGTATTATAATATGTCATGTTATATATCATATTACATGTTTGATATAGTATATAAACACACATAGCATGAATATCATACATAATTTTAATTATGATTCAAGTGTACATAATATAAGATTTGCCATTGTAACTATTTTCCAGTGTACAACTCAGTAGTACTAAGTATAGTCACAATGTTGTGACCCCATGAACTGTAGCCCACCAGGCTTCTCTGTCCATGGGATTCTCCAGACAAGAGAGTCCACTCCACTGGAGTGGACTGCCATTCCCTTCTCCAGGGATCTTCCCAACCCACTGATAGAACCCAGGTTTCCTGCATTGCGGGCAGATTGTTTACCGTCTGAGCCACCAGGGAAGTCAGTATATACATACACATAACATAAATATCATATATAATTTTAATTGTGATTCGAATGTGCATAATATAAAATTTGCCATTGTAACCATTTTCCAGTGTAGAACTCAGTGATACTCCTAAGTATAGTCACAGTGTTGTATAACCATAACTACTATCTATCTCTAGAACTTTTTTTTTATCATCTCAAACAGAAACTCTCTGTGCCCGTAGGCAAAACATTCCTATCCCAGGGACTTCCCTGGTGGTCCAGTGGCTAAGACTCCGTGATCCCAATACAGGGGGCCTGGGTTTGATTCCTGGTGAGAGAACTAGATCCCACATGCCATAAGTTAAGACTCAGCACAGCCAAATAAATAATTAAAATAAATATTTTTTAAAATATTTCTTTACTTCTTGGGCTGTGTACATCGTAGTTGTGGCATGTGGGTTCTTCTGTTGCGGCATGTAGCTTTCTCTCTAGTTGTGGCCTGTGGCCTCAGTAGTAGTGGTGCACAGGCTTAGTTGCCCCGAGGCATGTGGGATCTTAGTTCCCTGATCAGGGATCGAACCCACATCCCCTGCATCGCAAGGCTGATTCTCAACCACTGGACCACAAGGGAAGTCCCTAAATATTTTTAAAAAATTCCCGTCCCCATTCTCTGCAGCCCCGGGTAACCTCTTCTACTTTCTGTCTCTATGAATTGGCTTATTTTAGATTTTTCCTAGACATGAAATTATACACTATTAGTCCTTTAGTGTCTGACTCATTTCACTTAGCATGTGCTCAGGGGTCATCTGTGTTGTCACTCTGCAGAATTAGAACTTCATTCCTTTTTATATTAACATTCTGTTGTATAGATAGACCACACTGTCTGTTCTTTCACTTGGTGGACAGGTTGGGTCTTAGTAGAATTTTCTTTTTTAATAAAATGGGATCATTTCACATGTCGTGTTGTGTGCCTAGCCTTTTTCACTGTGCAGCCTTTCTTGGTGCCCAGTCTCTGTCAGTAGCATAGCTGTAACTTGTTCTTTTTAAACAGCTGTTATTCCATAACATGAGGGTAGCACGGTTTAGCTAACTGATCCCCCATGGATCAACATCTAGGTTATTGGTAGTTAACCTATCTTGATGCCTGCTTCATTGAGCTCCATGCTCCCTGTTTGACGTGGCAAAGTCTGGAGGGACCACCGCCCTCCCCCATTTCCCCCCTCCCTTGACCCCAGCCACCCCAGCTGTGTGTCTCTCCTGCCCCACTCCCAGGTCAGTGACTGGTGGGAAGAATTCGTGTACCTGCGCTCCCGGAACTCACTGATGGTGAACAGCAACTATTACATGATGGTGAGAAGGGGAGACGGAGGTTAGGAAGTGGGCAAGGGATGGGGTTCATAGTTCCCCAGCTCTAGGGTTGGGGTGTCTGGCTAGAATGTGGGGTTTAGGGTCAGTGACCCCAATCACAGTCTGGAATTCACCATCCCGCCTGTTGGGATCAAGACGTGTGTTTGAGGTCAGTGCCTCCATCCTGCGCAAACCTGACTGCAGGCGTTTTGCCTGGCCTGGCCCGCAGGACTTTCTATACGTCACGCCCACTCCCGTGCAGGCGGCGCGCGCGGGCAACGCCGTCCACGCCCTCCTTCTGTACCGCCACCGCCTGGACCGCCAGGAGATCCTGCCGGTAAGAGGGCTGCCCCCGCGGGCTGGGGACGGAGGCTGTGGTCCTGGGAGGCAGGTCAGGAGCCCGTGATCTCCTGCAGACTTTGCTGATGGGAATGCGACCCTTGTGCTCCGCTCAGTACGAGAAGATATTCAACACCACGCGAATTCCCGGGGTCCACAGAGGTGAGCCCCCTCTACCCTCTCGTTGATAGACGTAGAACAGTATAGTGGCTAAGAGCACGCTCTCTGGAGCCAGCTTGCCGGGATTCGAATCCCAGCTCCGTAACTCCCAAGCTGTGTGACCTTGGGCAAGTTATTACCTTGTCTGAGCGTGAGTGTCCTCTTCGCTCAAATGGGACGATAAGGGTACTCGCAAGCCACTTGGCAAGTGGCTAACAAAGGTCCTTATTCTTACAACGTATTCCCCCCCAGATCACATCCGCCACCTTCGTGACAGCCGACACGTGGCCGTCTTCCACCGGGGCCGGTTCTTCCGCGTGGGGACCCACTCGCAAAGCCGCCTGCTTTCCCCGCGGGCCCTGGAGCAGCAGTTTCAACGAATCCTGGACGACCCCTCTCCCGCCTGCCCCCACGAGGAGCATCTGGCGGCCTTGACCGCTGCTCCGAGGTGAGGGTCAGAGGTCTGGGGGCCCGAGGCCCCGCCAGAATCCTGAGGTCATGGGTCTGGTGGAGGCTGGGCAGCGGGGAGGGGGGACTCAGTCGCTCCTCTGGCAGGGACACGTGGGCCCAGGTGCGGAGGTCTCTGAAGACGCAGGCCCAAGAGGCCCTGGAAGCCGTCGAAGGGGCCGCTTTCTTCGTATCACTCGACTCCGAGCCCGCGGGACTCACCAGGGAGGACCCCGCAGCTTCCTTAGATGCCTACGCACACGCCCTGCTGGCCGGCCGGGGCCACGACCGGTGAGTCAGCCCGCAGATCTGGCCCCCACCCGACCTGCGACCCCAGACCCAATGCAGTGAGACCTGGGGACCTCTGAGGCCGTTAACCTCTAGACCTGGGACCCCAGATCCAGAACTGCAGATTTCAGGACCGACAAACTTCTGACCTGGATTCTCAGACCTTGAGAAACTCTAGACCTAGACTCCAGACTCAGAATTGCAGACCCAGGGACCCCAGATCTGAGGATTAATAGGTGCCAAACCTAGGGCCCAGGGAATCTGCCAGCCAGACCCTAAGCCTGGGGACCTCAGGCTCAGAACTGCAGACCATGGAATCCTGAGACCTTAATGCAGGTGCCCCAAATTCAGGACCTCAGCTCTGGGACCCCCGACCTAGAGATTCTCAGATAAATTCTTAGATGCCCACCAGGCACCACTCGGATTTCTGAGGCCCCTGGGAGAAGTTCCCTAAGCTCTCAGCACGTGTAAACCATGAACATTTTAAAAATTTTTTTCTGAATTTTTTTTGAACTTTAAAAAAACATGTTCTCTCAAAACCCCTGAACCCTGTGATCCTGAGATACATTTCAGAGACAATCAGAACCCCCTTCTAGAGACCCCTACCTTCTTACGGATCCCCACACCAGGCCCCCAGCCCTGATTCCTAGATCTCCCAACCGAAACCCACTCAGTTCCCACAGAGAGCCCCCCGGCTCCCTCCTGGCTTCTTTGACTCTTTGGTGACCGTGCTGAACTCTCTCCCGGCAGCTGGTTTGACAAATCCTTCTCCCTCGTCGTCTTCTCCAATGGAAAGCTGGGCCTCAGCGTGGAGCACTCGTGGGCTGACTGCCCCATCTCAGGACATATGTGGGAGGTAGGGCAAGCCAGCTGGCCTTCCACCCCGGGGACCACCACCCTTACCCCACCATTTCCGAAGACCTTCCTCTCCAGTGCCTTAAGGTTAGAGGAGAAATGGAGACTCAGAGAGAGGCAGACACCAGACCAGGGTGACCCAATAAAGAAGGATATCTAGGGAAAGTGTTAGTTGCTCAGTCTTTGTGACCCCATGGACTGTAGCCAGGCTCCTCTGTCCATGGAATTCTCCAGGCAAGAATACTGCAGTGGGTTGCCATGCCCTTCTTCAGGGCATCTTCCTGATCCAGGAATTGAACCCTGGTTTCCTGCATTGCAGGCGGATTCTTTACCATCTGAGCCACCCGGGAAATACATCTAGGATTATGACCTTTCTTTGCTTTTTGCTGTGCTGCCCCATTTGCAGAATCTCAGTTCCCCGACCAGGGAAGGAACCCAGGCTCCCACAGTGAAAGAGTCGAGTCCTAACCATTGAACTGCCAGGGAACTCCCTTTGACCTTTCTTTGACAAATAGGCATTTGGGACTCAGAAAAGGGAACTGATTGGCCCAGAGTCACAGAGTCAGAAGTTGTTGAGTGAGAATAAAAATCCAGAATGTTCGGAGACCAGAGTGAGGGCTTCCAACCATATCACCCTGAGTCAGCAACCATCCTCTGGCTCTGGGTTGCTGTGTGACCTTGGGCAAATTACTCCCCTTCTCTGAGCCTCCGTTTCTGCCTCATCAAGTGAAAGGGTTGTGTTTTCTTTCATCTTTAAGCTCCTGTCCAGTCCTGAGATCCTTAGCCTCTCTCTTTTCTCTATTTCATTTAGTCCTTAAACCATCAAGGCCCACTGGGTTCTGAGTCTTCTGTAGTGTTGCATGAGGGGTTAGCTGGGGCCCAGGGTGAGGATCAGGCATGTATGAGAGGAAGGAGGGCTGATTCTAGATCTTGAGAGCAGCCTCAGGTAAGCACTGGTTCCTCTGTGCCTGTTTCTTATTTTAAAAATGGGATTTTTTTTTTTTTTGCTTTTGCTTGTGTTGGTAAATGACACTCTCATTTCAGTTTAACCTCAGACCCTTTCTGTCATATATCATCTCTGCATATCATACTTTGAACCAGTCAGAAGTACAAGGGCAGTAAGCACCAACTGAGAATTAGTATTAGTCTTGCTTTCAATGACTGTGACCCCAAGATCCTACCTGTGACCATCCAGAGGTTTCTGTTTCTCAGAGATTGAGGAGTCTTAAGAAAAGGGTGGCCTGGTTTGATGCCCCTTGCTTGGTCCAGTGGGAGGAAGGATTCTGACAGTTTCTGTCTGCACACAGTTCACTCTGGCCACAGAATGCTTCCAGCTGGGCTACTCGGCAGATGGTCACTGCAAGGGGCACCCTGACCCCTCGCTGCCCCAGCCCCAGAGGCTGCACTGGGACCTTCCAGACAAGGTGAGGCCAGGTTTCTAGATTCCTCTTCCACATCCCCAAATTCCTGGGTTTGCCTCTCATCTCATCCCCACCCCCAGTCTCAAGCAAAAAATCAATCCCATCCCTAAGCCCAGTTCCAAACCCATACCCCAAATCAAGCCAAACCCAAACCCCAATCCTGTCTCCAATCTAACCCCATCCCAACCACATCCTCTATTCTAACCCTAACCCCAAACTAACCCTCTTTCCACCACCCCTGCTCAACCCCAATCCCCACGCCATCCCCAACCTCAATTTAGTTTTATCCCAACTCAGACCCAACCTTGTCTCCATCCCAAACTCATATCCACCTCCATCCCCAGCACCATTCTTTTTTGGTTTATTCATTCATTCAGCTGTGCCAGGTCTTAGTTTGATCTTGCGGGGTCTTTTTGGCATGTGGGATCTTTTCACTGGGGCATGCGGGATCTAGTTCCTTCTTTCTGGCCCCCTGCATTGGGATCACGGAGTCTTAGCCACTGGACCACCAGGAAAGTCTCCCCATCACCATTCTTAAATTCAATCCCATCTCAACCCTAATCCCATCCCATGCATCCTAAGTGGCCTCAGTCATGTCCAACTCTTTGCGACCCCATGGACTGTAGCCGGCCAGACTCCTCTGTCCATGGGATTCTCCAGGCAAGAAGACTGCAGCGGGTTGCCATACCCTCCTCAACCCCATCCCATACCCAACCCCCATTCATATCCCATCCTATACCTAATCCCAACCCCATTCCCAACCCTAATTCAGTCCTCATTCCCAGCTCCATTCCCTGTCCGTCCCATCCCTGTCCCCAAACCTCAGTCCCATCCTGACCTTCACTGCCAGTGCCAGGCCCAACTCTAACCTCCTCCTGTCTGTAACCCCCAGCCACTCCTCCTCCCTCCTTCTCTGGCAGATCCATCTATCCATCTCTCTAGCCCTGAGGGCAGCCAAGACCTTGTCTGGAAACATAGACTGCCACGTCTTCCCTTTCTCCCACTTCGGCAAGAGTTTCATCAAACGCTGCCATCTCTCTTCAGATAGCTTCATCCAGACCGCCTTGCAGCTGGCCCACTTCCGGGTCAGTTGGGTTCCTAACCCTAGCCTCCCTCTCAGAACCTTAGTTCCCTTGGGGGCCCAAGACCCATATCGTCGAGCCCTTTCATGACTTCTTGGTGGTGGGTCTACCATCTTGATTAGGGGCTCCATCCAGCCCTCTCCCAACTGTATGTTCCTGGGCGGAAGGAGGCAGGAGGTCCACACAGAGGTGGATCAGGCCTGTGAAGGCTTCCTGAGCCTAGCTGACAGGCGCATCTCCTCCTTGTCCCCCAGGACAGGGGTCAGTTCTGCCTGACTTATGAATCCACCATGACTCGCTTGTTCCTGGAAGGTCGCACAGAGACAGTGCGTTCTTGCACAAGGGAGGCCTGCAACTTTGTGAGAGCCATGGAGGACAAAGAGAAGACAGTGGGTGTGGGCCTCATTTGAGGCTTCGGTCATTTCCACCTTCTCATTCATACATTTACAAACATTTAAGGAGCACCTTCTGAGGTCCAAGCTCTGTGATGAGACAGGGGAGGAACAAGCCGAGTCTCTGACCTCAAGGAGCTCGCTGATGGGGGCAGAGAGAGGTAGTTCAGCATAGTGTACCACATGCTTTAATGGGGATCACACAGAGGGCACCCCTGTTTCCAACATGTAGGTCTCTTTATTTAACCTCTGTGTGACCTTGTAACTTTCATTTGTACCATTCCTCACGTTCCCTACATAATCTCTCTGCTCAGAACCCCGAAGGCACTTCTGTTTCCTCTCCCCCTACTTGTTTTGAGGCTCAGTGAAGGGAGTTTGGGCCCTAGATACCTGGGAACCCACCTGATTCTGCCTTGCTGTGTGATGCTGGGCAGGTGACTTCCCCTCTCTGTGCCTGTTTCCCTGCTGTGAAGTGGAGTTGATATCTCTGCCTTGCGGGGAAGTTGCAAGCTGGGTTGAGGCCGGGGGTGTGACAGGCCCCAGCAGTAAGCCCACTTCCTGTCTTTCCATGGCCTGTGACCTCCCGGGGGGCCCCAGGACGCACAGTGCCTCGCCCTGTTCCGCCTGGCGGTGGATAAGCACCAAGCTCTGCTGAAGGCAGCGATGAGCGGACAGGGGGTCGACCGCCACCTCTTTGCTCTCTACATCGTGTCCCAGTTCCTCCATCTGCAGTCTCCATTCCTGGACCAGGTTGGGAGGAGGGAGAGGGTTAAAGAAGAGAAGGGAGGCGCTTCAGGGCAAGGAGGGTGATGTTGGAAAAAGGAGGTATCAGCAGAGGAGAGAGCTAGGCAGGCCAGGCAAGAGAGAAAGGGAAGGAGTGGAGAGGGAAGAGGGGCCTAGAGAGGGGGCACGGTTACGGAAAGGATGTGACGGGCGTAGTCAGGGCGGAGTGGGAGAAGAATGTGATCTAGAAGACCACAGGGTCAGGAGTTGAAAGGGAGGGGGCGTGGTTAGGGGCGGGGACAAGGGAGAGGGGCGTGGTCTAGAGGGAAAAGCGCGCAGGGTGACGTCAGGAAGGGGCGGGGCAGAGTGGCACACCTTGAAGGGAAAGCCGCGGCGGCTTGTCTTCAGCGCACACGTGACTGACTCCTGTCCCTCAGGTTCACTCAGAGCAGTGGCAGCTGGCCACCAGCCAGATTCCTGTTCAGCAAATTCACCTGTTCGACGTTCACAATTACCCCGACTACGTCTCCTCTGGTGGTGGATTCGGGCCTGTGAGTGGAATTGGGCCCTGAGGGAGGAGGGGGTGGGGGGATGGGACCTGGGGCTGTGCTGTTCCCGTCACTCACCCCTCTGCAGGCCGATGACCACGGTTACGGCGTGTCCTACATGTTCATGGGCGATGACGTGATCACCTTCCACATCTCGAGCAAAAAATCAAGCACCAGAACGGTGAGGCTGACCCACCCCGGCCCCTCCTCCCTCGAGACTCCCACGTCCCTCCTCTCCTGCAGCGCAGGATTCCAGACTCCCACCTGCCCACGATCCCGGAGTCCCAGTGCTCAAACCCCGCAGCCCTCAGGCCCAGGGGCAGGGACCCCAGCCCTCTTGCTTCTCAGCCTCTGGGAGCCCCTCTCCCAGCTTCTCTTGCACGTGACACATCTCTCCTTCCAGGACTCCCACCGGCTGGGCCAGCGCATCCAGGACGCCTTGTTGGACGTGGCCACCCTCTTCCCGGAGGGGCAGCATCTTAAGCGCAGGGGGTTAGGGAAGGAGGACTCGGGTTAGGGGAGGAGGACTTGGAGCACAGCTGTGGTTCTCTCCCCTGCCTTACCAGGGGCTCCAGGGCCCCCACGACAGCCACTAGCTTTTGACACCTTCCAGGGGGGAGCTGGTCTCCCCAGGAACTAGGGGAAGGTCTCTGCTGCTGGGCTGGTGCAGGACAGAGGCAGCCTGTCTGGGTTTGGAAATCCCACATCCTGACTAATAAAGATGTGTGAGCTGGGGGTGTGATGTCCGCTGTGCTCTTGGGCTGGGCAGGGGTGGGTGAGGTGAGGGTTAGGGTGGAGGAAGAGAAAAGTTCCCATTCATCCCCAGGCTCCACCATGAATTCCCAGTTACAGTCACCATGTCAGCTATAACCCTGGCACCTGCCTAATTTATTGCCTTTCAGCTTCAATCACACCAAACCCAACCAAGCAAGACCCATCCCAATCAACACCACAAGCTTTCATGAGCTCAGTTCCTGCTGCCCCAATACCAACTGCCCACCCTATATTTTAAAAATATATATACTTATTTGGCTGTCCTGGGTCTTGACTAGGGATTGGACCCGGGGGCCCCTGCCTTGGGAGCGCAGAGCCTTAGCCACTGGGCCACCAGGGGAGTCTCTGCCCACCCTAAACTCCCAAATGAATCCCCCAATATTCTTAGTGCTTCTAGAGACTGCCTGCATTCGTCGGTTTTGATTCCATCTTCCATCTTCACAGCCATCATTGTTGCATCCCTGTGTCCTTTTCTCCACTAGTCACACCTCCTCTGACTGATTCCTGCCATCTAAGGACCCTTGTGGTTAGACTGAGCCCATCCAGGTGATCCAGGATTAACTCTTAATCTCAGCTCCAACTGATTAGCAACCTAATTCCCCTTTGCCATGTAGAATACCATATGCACAGGGTCCAGGGCACTTTGGGGGAACCATTAGTTGCCTGCCACAGGTGCATCCATGAAACCCGATAGGCCATGAGTTGGTAAGTGGTGAAACTAGGGGAAAGGTCATTGGGGTGGGGCTGGTTCACCAAGAGTGGTTAACAAGCCACCTGGTGGTTGCAGAGAGCCGCTTCGACCAGAAGGCCTGACATCAGGGGGGCTCCTCAAGGGCTGCGGTGCTCGGGGGAGGGGGGGCTCCTAGTTGTGCTTAAGGCTGAGCATTTCAAACAGATACTTGCCCAGCCAAGCCTGGGGACCAGCCAGCCTGCGGAGGTCAGTCAGGTAATCACCCATCCTGCAGATAAGTTTCATCTGCTCACCTAGGCTGAGGCTCCAGGAAGTCACAGAGGTGGAAGTCTGCATAGGGAGAACCCAGGGTGTGCAGATCCATATGGGCCTGGTTCATGGAGGTTCTTCTCCATGAACACGGAGGCTTCTGTAGCATCCTGGGTTTTACCCCACTCATCTTGATACAGCTTCTGCCCATCTAGGAAGAGTGCACGGCAGCCATGGTGGTTTTGCAGTTTCAAGAGATGGTGGGTGCCCTGGCGCTTCTCCTAGAGCAGTTCGAGGAAAAGGGGGCTCACGCCCTCAAGTCGCATTGTGGCAGTGGAAAAAGAAGCCCAGAGGCAGGTGGTATAGGAGGCCTGCAGATACTTGTTGACCAGGTGGTGGACGGCGGCCTCCACCTCGGTGAAATGATTCTGACGAACTGGGAGCTCATGGTTGATCGGAAATAAAGAGTTAAGCTCAAAAAATGGTGTTGGCTGGTCTCGGTGACCGAGGATAGCTGAGTAGCTGATTCCAAAGATTGCAACTGGAAAAAGTGTTGGAGGGTGGTGGGAAGCTGGAGAAAGGGGCATCCCTGGGTCTGTTGCATGCAAACACTGTGGAAGGAAGAGGGTCTGTGAGACCACCATATGCACTCTGTAACAGCAGTCCCCAACATTTTTGGCAGCTTTCGTAGAAGACTGTTTTTCCATGGACCAGTGTGGGGGTGGGGGGGTGGTTTGGAGATGATTCAAGTGCACTACATTTATTGTGCACTTTATTTCTACTAGTATTGCGACAGCTCCACTTCAGATCATCATGCATTAGATCCCAGAGGTTGGGGACCCCAGTCTATAAAACTCTTCAAAAGAAAACACAGGCGCAAGGCTTCATGACATTGGATTTGGCAATGACTTCTCAGCTTGGATGTGATAGCCAAAGCACAGGCAACGAAAGGAAAAAAAAAAAAAAATGGCATTACAACCAGATTAAAAAATTCCGTGCATCCAAGGACACACAATCAATAGAGTGAAAAGAGCTGGCATGATGGGAGACTATAATTTGCATGTTGTGTATCTGATGAGTTAATATGAGATATATGACATGACTCCTACAATCCAAGAACAAAAGCCAAACAACCCCATTCAAAAAATAGGCCAAGGACTTGAATAGACAAATGAATAGACATTTCTGCACTGAAGATTCACAAATAAGCCCATGAAAAGATGTTCCTGGCAGTTGCCAGGAGCTGGGAGGAGGGAGGAATGGGGAATGAGGAGGTTTTGTTTAATGGTTACAGTGTTTCTGTTTGGGAGGATGAAAAGCTCTGGACATGGACATAGTGGTGATGGTTACACAAGTTGTGAGTGTAATTCATACCACTGAATTAGACACAAATATGATTAAAATGGTAAACTGTATGTGATGCACATTTTGCCAAAATTTCAATGTGCTCACGATCATACAATCTGGGTTGAGCTGGACTCACTGGCCTTGTGGTCACCAGTCATTGGTCAGTGCATCAAGCTGAAGGATCACCTGGGAAATGGGATGGCCTGGGCTTGCTATCTCTGTGGGGTATCTTCAATAAGTGTTCCCAAAAGAGCAGCCTGATTTGTTCTTTTTATTTATTTTTTGATTTGTTCTTTTTAAAAAATTACTTGTTTATTTATTTTGTTCTTCTTTTATACGATTTTTAAAAGATACTTAGCTGTGCTGGGTCTTTGCAGCATGCAAATTCTTAGTTGTGGCATGTGGCATCTAGTTCCTTCACCAGGGATCAAAGCTGGACCCCCTGCATTGGGAGCTCAGAATGGAGTCTTAGCCACTGGACCACCAGGGAATTCCCAGTGTAACTTTATATTTTAACATACTGGCTGTAGACCAATCTTATTACTCGTCTGTAGAAACAAAAAATCTTTGCTTCTCTCATCTATTTGTTTCTTCAGGAGACCTTTAGAATAATTGGGTCAATTCCTTTAAAAAATAATCTCAGTGGGATTTTGACTGAATTTGCATTAAAACCACAATAGAATTTGGATAGAATTAACATCAGCGCAACATTCAGACTACTTATCCAGGAAAATAATTAGTCTCTCAAGTATTCAAGGACTCCTTAAAAGATGTATTTGGGCCTTAGGGGTACGGAATTGGATTACTCATAATCTCTGATCATTGGCACACACTACTGTTACGTGTGCCAATTATTAAGCTATTATCTCTTGGATTCAAATTCGCTCCCTTGTGAATCTGGGACTCGGACTCTGAAAACCACCCTTTTTCTTTGCCAACAGGCTGTGTTCAATTCTGCCAGTAGGGGGCACCAAAGGGACTGAAGGAAGCCGAGAGACTGGGCTCTTCCGGTTTGCTTTCTGCTTATTTCCTTCTCATCGGTTATCACCCAGCATAGCTTATTTATCCCAACTGAGGCATTTCCTTCCTGCAGCAGCTGCTAAGTCTAGTTTGCAGTTTTTCCAAATCTTGTGCACCCTGAGAAATGTCAGTACCATTTTAGTATGCTTTCAGAGAAGGCCCCAGTCCCTGCTGGTCTTCTAAGCTCAGATAACATCTGCACCAGTTGAGCACTCTCCCCTCCTCATTGTCCTCCTTGGATTTCATCTTCGGTGAGCCTCTCACCCAAGTGTTTAGTTTTCATAATTCTAACCCATATTCTGTTTTTTTCCTTCACCAGCGTTATTAGCTGCTTCTACTCTCACGAGTTATTACCACTATACCATAGGGCTCTCTTTTTGCCTTTTCAGTTTCCTAGTTACCAACTCTTTATACCTAAGTAATATTTCCTTATATGAAATCAACTCTGTGAAAATAACCAGTGTGATTTCTGTCTTCTGAATATACCTTGGCTGACATCAATATTTGCAAGAGAAAGTGAATTCTTAAATTTGGTTTGGGAAATGGTTTAGTTGGTTCTTAGGATTTGAACATAGTGCTGAGCTCCTTGTCAAGAAATGGAATGCTAATATTCCACAGTCTGCAGTGGCATCATGGTAAATCATATATTAGCATCCATCTTGGCTGTTGTGAGGTTCCAACTGAAGTCTGTGACTTGAGGGATGAGTGGCTGCTGCAATGAACCATCGGGGCACTAATAATGGCCACAAGGAGAGTGGCATTCAGTGGCTACTTCTGAGTTCCCTGACATGCTTAATGAAAGAACATTATGAGCTCAGATCTTTGCAATATTGCTTCCTTTTTTTTTTTGGCTGCAAAGCGTGTGGGATCTTAGTTCCCCAACCAGGGATGGAACCTGTACCACCTGAGCTGAGATCTTTAAACTCTCAGCTCCAATCACGTTCAGCGAACCAATCAGCTTCCGTGGAAACCCTAAAAGAATCTCACATTTCTTGTAATGACAGGGTCAACATGGCTGAAAATCTAACACAAGCTATAGCTGTATGGGTTCCAGAATTACATACCAAGTTGAATTAAAAATCTCGCTAAGTCTCTGGTAGGAAGGTTGAGGCGTTGATTGGGAAGGAGTGGAAGCCTGAGACTTACAATGGGAACATCTGATGGAACACAGATAAATTTTGAGACTTTTGAACTTTCTTTGTTCCCACTTCTCCACACAGGCTATCAATTCATTCTCGACTCCCCTTTCAAGCAGAACTCATCAGAAGAGTGTACCATCATCGACATCCCATCAGCTGAGGATCAAGTCAGAGTGAGCACAGATGCTGGTGCGTGGCATGTGCAGTTTTACTAGCTCTCTTTTGGTGCCAAACAGGAGACTGAATTCATGCCAGCATGAGGGGCCATTTATTGCTCAGGGGTTGGGCCCCCATGTTTTGGGGGAGTTCCCCCACCACTTCCTCCCCCCATTGTCCCAGTGGACCCCTCAAGTGGCAGGTTGCTGAGCTGATCGTGGAGGGAGCACATTTTCAAGTGTAGATAGTCCAGAGTGGCCACCTTCTCCCTGTAATGAGACAGTGGGCAGTTAGTGCTGGTGAGGCCAGAGGCCTTGGGGCTGAAGTGGAAGGTGGGGGTGACTCAGGCCCTCTCCCCAAGACCTCACCCTCCTCCCATGCCCTCAGCCTGCTTCCTCACTCCGGCTTCATCTTGTCCGTCAGCAGCAGGTTCTTGGCCCGCAAGGCTTCGTCTTGGGCCAGCCGAAGGGTGGAGCTCAGGGCCTCTGCCCTGACGTGTTTGGCCAAGGCCTGGCGCTCCAGCTCCTGGGGAGAGGAGCGTAGGCGCCGCTGGGCTTGCTGGACTGGGCTGGGGGTGGAGGGGGGATCTGGATTGCGAAGCGCAAGGGGTAGGGTCCCCTGGGCCCGCATCCCCCACCCCTGGAGTATCCCATCATGCCTTGAGCCTGAGGCTGATCCCAGCATCCCACAATGCACTGGGCCTTCCCGATTCCCTTGTGCACTAGACTTGTACCTGTCCCACCGTCTGTCCTCTATTGATTGCACTGGCCATCTTCTTCCCTGATAAGCACTAAATCAACATCTGTCACATTGTTCCTTACTGCCCACGAGCCATCATGCGTTTGATGTCTGGGGCCCCATCTCGCATCACGTGGTGACCGTCTACATCCCATAATTCACAAGACCCCACATCTCCTATCTATCAGGCCAGCCTCTCTATCACAATAATAGTCCTCAGTGCTCTGGTGCCCTGTATCCCACAATGCACCAGGCCCCAGGTCCTTTACTGCCTCATTTGTCCATCTCACCCAATACAACTCATATCCCATAATACACTAGATCGCTATGTTTCAGAATGTACACCAGCCTCAGATTCCACCTGCTACTGCGCCTGTGTCTGTGTGCAATGCCTCAGGAAGAGCTGTGCTTCCATTTCCCATACTGCGTTAGCTTACTCTGAGCTGTATTCACTGGTTCCCCGTCTGATCGCAATGATCCCATATAATGCATTGCCTCTCAAGTTTCGTGGAAAATCAGGCTTATATTCCACGAAGCTATAGACTGGTGTCTGTCTTCTCTGTCCCACAGAGCACTAGATCCGGATTCCATGATGCTTTGGGACCAAGTCCATCACCCAAGCTTTCATAATGACTGACCTATGACTCACTAACCACCAAACTGATCTTGTTCCCCGATTCTGACATACCAGAGCCAAGTGTTCCCCCAACACCTGCTGCCCCCAGCTCACCCTCCCCATCCTGCCACACACCAGCAGTATCCTTGCGTCTGGGCCTCCCCTCCCCCTGCCCTGATCACAAACTGGCCCATGGTGGCCCATGGTCCTTGGTACCAGAATCTTCTTGTGTAGCCTCTGGCAGCTGGGGCAGGCAGGAGCCAGGCCTCTCTGCTTCACCTCGTCCACTAGCGGGGTCAGCGCTCGTTCCAGAAGCTGCTGCAAGGACTCCGTGGACAACTGCTGTCCCTGGCTGGGGGAGGGGTAGTCACCAGGTGAAAGAGGGCTCAGATCAGGATGGCCCAAGCCTACCTGCCCAGCCTTCACCCAGGCCACCTTCCCACCATGCACTGGGGCCAGACTACAGTGCATCAGGTGTACTTATAGCTTTCACCAGCTCGGGGAACTCCCACAGTGCCTGGGGGTTCCCACTCCGGACACCAGATGGCCCTCAGCGCGTCAAAAACTCACATTTCCCACAATGCCCTAGTTAAAATTGATCCCACATTGTATGGGAAGTGCCCCCACTGTTCCTAATACAGGATAAACATGGTCCTGTGCCTCTCCAATACCCCAAGGTCTCACACTTCCCTACAGTGCACTGGGCAACCCTGCCTCCCACCAGTAGCACTGCCCAACCTTCCCACGATGCACTTGGAAATCCAGGATGCTCGAAACAAAGCAAGACTTTCTCATGTTCCGCAAGACACTGACTTCACCATGTGGGGAAGGGAAGAAATGTGACTCCCCAGGTGCAGCAAGACTGGCCCATCCTATGACACATGGGGCTGCCCTGTCTCCCACAATGCATTTCCTTCTCCAGCCATGCTAAAGTCTCATCTCCTTCGATGCTTTGTCCTCAATATGACACAGAATGCACCTGGAGCCAGGCGCTGCCCCCTTACCTGGCACAGCGGGTACAGGAGCCTTGGGCTCCCCGATCCAGGTTCAGAGAGAGGTCAGACACTCTCCGAGAGCTCTGAAATTGCCGTCCAAGCTCCTCCAGAATTGGTTTCACTGGGCCCAGTCCCTCCAGTTCGCTCCTCAGTGAAGCCACAGACACTGCAGACCGCTCCACCCTGAGATGTGAGAATAAGTGGTGCAGTGAGGTCACCTCTGAAAGTATACAGGTGTCCTCTGATTTCTAAAAGGTTACTTTATCCCAGTCCATTTTTTGGAAAGACCTACATTAGTACCTGTTTTCACTAACCAAAAGAAATCAGAAAAGGATTTTTGCTTTTATGAAAAAAGCACAAAACATTTGTTTTGTAGCAAGCTCTTGTTGTTGTTCATTTGCTATGTTGCATCCGACTCTTTGCAACCCATTGATTGCAGCAGGCCAGGTTTGTTTGTCTTTCACTGTCTCCTGGAGTTTGCTCATAGTCATGTCCCTTGATTCGGTGATGCCATCCAACCATTTCATCCTCTGTCATCCCCTTCTCCTCCTGCCCTCAATCCTTCCCAGCATCAGGGTCGTTTCCAATGTGTCGGTTCCTCTCCAATGTGTCAGCTCTTCGCACCAGGCGGCCAAAGTACTGGAGCTTCAGCTTCAGCATCAGTCTTTCCAATGAATATTCAGGGTTGATTTGGTCCAAGGGACTCTCAAGAGTCTTCTCCAATACCACAGTTGGAAAGCATCAGTTCTTCCGCACTCAGCCTGCTTTTACAGAAGCAGGACACATTGCAAGCAGTGGGAGTGGAGCCACCAAGCTCCTCCTCTGAGAACTACACTCAGTACCTCGGCATCAAGCCACCATAGCTTTGAACTGTGTTCTGTGGGCATCTGTGCTTTACCTCAATTTATTTTGTGCATCTGTTGGCAAGATGTATTCTAAGGGAGTTGTCTCTTCCCTTTATGCTATTTTGGCTTACCAAAGGTTTCACAGGAACCGCTCTACTTTCATATAACAGGGTGAAGGCCCAACAAGGCTCCACCCAAGATTAGCCCAGCACCTCTGCCTCCATACAGTTTGCAATACCTCGCCACACGCACAGCCTTTGCTCTGACTGGTCCATCTTTTTTTTTTTTTTTTCNTTTAATCCTTTTTTTTTTTTTTTTTCCCCTTTTATTTCGGGAATGCCTCTCTTCGTTCTCGAACTGGTTTGCTCTGTTCCCATTTGCCTCCCCTTGCCCTTTGTTTTTTCCCCCTTGCCCTTTTAAGGTACAGTGAAAGTGAAACTCGCTCAGTCGTGTCTGACTCTTTGCGACCCCATGAGCTATACAGTCCATGGAATTCTCCAGGCCAGAATACTGGAGTGGGTTGCCATTTCCTTCGCCGGGGATCTTCCCAACCCAGGGATCGAACATTGCAGGCGGATTCTGTCCCAGCTCAGCTCCCAGAGAAGCCCCTCTCTTGTAGTGGCTCCGCCCCTCAGTCCTTAGGTAGAAAGCACCTCTCCCTCCTCTCTAATTGGGGCCCCCACCTGTCAGTATTACAGTCTCCACCCGATTGGCTCCAGCTGATTGGCCCTTCACTCAAGGCTCCGCCCTCCCACGTTCCCACAGTGCTCCCGGATGGGCCTTTACATGGTGCACAGCTCGTCCGCCCGGCCCCGCAGCTCCTGCAGGCCCCGCGCGGTCTGCGCCTGTTCGCGCTGCGCCCGCTCCCACTGGCCCAGGAAGCCGTCGAGCCTGCCACCCAGACCCCCAAGCAGCCGTAGGGCCTCCTGCACGGCTCCCTCCTCCTGATGCCACCGGGCGGTCAGCGAAGACACCTCCCTCCTGCAGGGGCAGAGGTAAGGAACCCGTCAGGGCTAAGTTTGGACACGCCCCGGTCCGCCCGGCCAGGGGCTCCGGACCCACCGAGTCCCCTAATTCTCCCGTCCTGTTCATGTCTTGGAATCCTCTCAAGTCCCCCAGAACCCGGCCCGGAAAGAATCCCCTTGTCAGATATCCTGGCTTTCTCACGGCCTGCCTCCCAGCCCTGCATCAACTGCTCCAGACACTGCCTCCTCAAGATACCACTCGCCCCAACCCTGTCCCCCTGAGTTTGGAGCCACCTGCCACCTCCCCAAACTTCGCCCACCTCATTTTCACGGGCCTCCGGCCTCCCTGCCACCAGTCCTATACTCTACTCACTTCTTCGAAGTCCTGCTCTTCCGGGTCATTGCCCCAGAACACTCCTTCCTAGGCTATTCGAGGCTCCACCCCCCGGGCCCATCTCGAGATCCCACTCACCTCAGCTCCTCCAGGCCGGCAGAGACCTTCTGCAACTCTTGCTCGCTCACGATGGGGCCCTCCCCTGGCCGGGGCCCCATTCCCCAGCCGCCTGAGGCCAGGCCTCGCGGTCGCGGGGGTTCGTCGGGGCTCCCGGGTGGACCGGAGCAGCCTGAGGGCTGGGTGGCGGGGCCCAGGCCGTGCCTGGAGAGGCCAGCCTCCAGCTTCTGCTCCAGCTCCTGTAGCTCTGCCTCCTGCCTCCTTGGAGTCTCATCCTGCAGTTGCTGCTGGAGGTAGCGCAGCTTCTCCTGGGCGGGGAAGGCAGGCAGGGTTAGCGTGAGCATCCTGCCCCTTGCCTCCCACCACTGCCACCTCCACCTCCACCCCCATCCCCAGATGCGCCCAATGAGTTCCTGACAGTAGAAAGTAAATGGATGTGGGGACACGATTAGGGAGGGAAGTTCCTTTAGAGGCCCAGCTGGAGTCTCAACTCACCTTAACCTCTAAATGCCCGCCTCTCTGTCTCCATCTAGCCCTCCACCCCAACTCTAATCCTCAATAGGCCTCAAACTCCAGTCCCTCCTGTTTAGGTAGAACAACTGAAGCTTTTCCAACATTCTGTTGGGAAATCAGTGGGCGGGTGGGCAGGACAGGCATTCCCACTCCAAGTCTGACATGAATTCCTCTCCCTGGGACCTGAATATGACTGTGAGTGGAGAAGTATGACCATGAACACGAAGGGGCAGGGTGGTGGTGGTAAAGGTGGTTGGCAGGGCGGGAAGTCCTACCCGAAGTCCACCTTGAGTATCTCATGTACTTGAGTAACGTCCTCGAACCCTTAGACCCCTCCGCCTTACCTCCAGCAGGGCAGAGTTCTGCTTCAGGACGTTGGTTTTTATTTCAGCATCTTCCACCGACCGGGTCACCTTCCGGCAGTTCTCCTGGGTCAGGATACCAGGGCAGGGGCCCTGCCTTCCCATTCCAGTTCTGTCTCCCAACCCTTATCCTCGTTATTTTCCATGCAGGCCCCACCCCACCTCAGCCGAGACATGCCCACTTCTTCCGCAAGGACTGCCTCTGCCCTTGGTTCCCTTGGCTCGCTTGGATAAAGGGCGGGTTCTTCCTAGGACCTCTCCCATGCTCCCTGTCTGCTTGCCCCCATCTCTCTCCTGTCGATCACTCTACTCCTCCCCATTTCCTCTCACCCTCCTTCCTACTCCTGCTTCCTTCTTTCCGCCCCACTCCTGCCCCTCGGCGGCTCACCTTGAGTTGACTACAGTACCCTTCTAGTTCTTCCGCCTCTTGCCGCCTTCTCTCTAAATTCTCACTCAGCACAGAACACTCACTCTGGAGCATGGAAGGGAGGAGGGGTTAGCCAGGGCCTCCAGGGGACACCCCAGGGGAAGGGGGGGAGAGGTGGGAACATCGCTTTCCCTTCTGAGCCTCAGTCTCCCCCAACTGGGCTATGGGTGCATTGAGCTGGAGAAGAAGGGGAACGTGGCCCCGGAAGTAGAGGAGGCGTTGACAGGGAACGGAGTGGTCCTCACACCTGCAGTGTCTGCACGTGCTGGTTAACCCGGGTGGTCTTCTCCTTCAAGCTGGTGATGGAATCTTTGGCACGCACCAATCCACTGTTGACCCCACTCTAGGGAAGAACGGGAGACAGCCAGGGGTCAGTGGGTGTAGGGGAGCAAACCCCAACCCCAAAAGAAAGTCTTAAAACTGCCTTTACACCTTGATTCTGCCCTGGAATAGCTGGTGGAATTGGGGGCCAGGGCTGCGCCTCTTTGATTCTTGGTGTTCTTGCTCCATTAAGCCAGGGGGCAGACTCTTTTTCTGCTTAGTGGATGGGAAGAAAAATAAGTAGGATCCAGGAGGGAGTGGGGGGTGGGGGGTTGCTCAAACTTGTGGGAGAAGGAGGATGTTCTTAACGTGAGATAAATGCCTTTGGGTCCAGAGACATAAATAAGATAAACTGTTAAAACACATGCCCTGTCTTTCTCTCCAGGCAGTGGAGGATTCTAAAGATAACCCACTTTCCAAATATAAGCACTCACTATGCACCAAGTCATGCACTTACCCACGTTTTCCCTTTTATTCCCCACAACTGCACCTCTTGAGGTTATTTTGGCCCATTTTGCAAGGGAGGCAAATGAGGCTCAGAGAGGGGATGTCCTTTGTATTCCCAGGTACATGGTACGTGAGGTGCCCTTGTCAGAATTTATTCTCAGAACCAGAACCATTGTTTTAAACTATGATGCCATGTGGCTGCTGATTATAGATAGCTACCTCATGTTATCATAAAATGCTTTGTGACCCCTGTCAAAAAAAACAGCTCAGGAAGGCTGCATGTGACAGGATCTCCACTCTCCTGTCT